ACACACACACACATTTAGAACCAACCCTCTGGCATGTTTTGACTTATTTGTTAACTGAATCAACCTAGCATTTGATCTATATAGCTTTACGATTCCAATCGATTCTTTTAGCAAACTTCTGTGTCACAGTGATGAAGATGATGAAATGGAATACTAGCAAAAATAATACAAATTAGTTAAACAAAACCAACAAACAAAAACTCCTTAAACAAATAGCTAATTAACTATGTAGTCTATACCAATACACACACACACACGGACAAACACAAACATACAAATAGCTTATATATATATACTATATAAAGAGAAAAACCATCTGCCATTATTATATAGGACACCTTTACTTATAGCGGAGCATTAACAAAACCAAACAAATTTTTCTAACTAATTTTGTTAAGAACTTTTCAATTTGTAGAACTTGATATGCTTTATATATACATATATATATATATATATATATATATATATATTTACTATATAAGAACTCTTCAACTAGTATTTGAGTTTTAACAAATTTTCGCTTATTTTTTGTAACGCTTCTCGATGCTCCGCCATTTCCATAATATATATATATATAGATCCATTAGATAAAACTCAAATTTCTACACAAAAATAAATAAGATGCTTGTTTTCAAAAAAGAATTGTGATAGTAGTCATAAAAAAATAAAAACAAACAAAATTAAGTAAAAGGAATTCGTAAAACCTTGAAAATCAAATGATTGTAAACCTAGTTGAAACAAACTGGGCTTAGAGTTCTATAGATTAGAGCTACATGAACTCAGACACACACCACAGAAATCGGAACCAAATATATATGACATATATATATGTATATGTATATTCCACAATCATTCAAATTCACAATTTGCAACATTTTGAAATAGTTTTAAAAAACTTATGTAAAAAACAAAACAAAACAAAAATACAATATAATAATGAAACATTTAATGGAAATATATAACAAATATATATAAATATATATATATGCATATATCTATATATACACATATGTATATATATATATAGTGTATATATATAGCTTAATAGCAGTACCGATATATAACGCACGTTGCTTATGAGAATTTTTTAAAATCAAACCAAAAGCAAAAAAATCCGACAAATATTTCAAAAAACATTTTTTACTTAACATGTCTTTATCAAATAAACAAATTTAACAAAACAACAAAAAGCTAACGGCCTAATTACAAATAAACAAATTAACTAAAAAACCATAAAGAGAGACTTTTATTTGAAACGAGAGAGAGAGAGAGTCGAAGAGAGAGTGAGAGCAAAAGCTTTTGCTCTGCGCAGGCGTTGGGGCTAGGGAGGGCGGTGGGCCAAGGGTTTGTTTTGGCATACTTTTACTTTCGCTTTCGCTTTCGAAAGTAAAAGTATGCTTTCAGCAGCCCTGGCTAAAAAACAGGACAACGCCAGGACGCACAGGCACACGGGCACGGCCTCTGCTTCAGTCAGTTGCAAGCGAGCGGTCAATAGCAGCGCACAGAACTCTTTGGCACTTGTTGTGTGGGCCACGCCACAAGTCACCACAGCAAAAGCGCAGCAAAAGGGCGTTCAAGAAAAGGGGCGGAGGACAGGGCATTCACAGCCAGTGCAAAAGTTGGCCAAAACAAACGCAACTCAAATAGTTTCCACAACAAACAAACAGTTGGCCGACAAATAAAACAAATAGCAGTAAATCAAACAGAAACCGTAACAGAAACGGAAACAGCGACGGCCATAGGAGACGAAACCACCCTCAACCCAGTCACCTTGAAAAGGATATATATAGGGTAAAGTGTCAAGAAAAGAAAAACTCTTCAGTTGAGTTCCTTTCGAATTCAACAAGTCCTACCTAACCCATAGCCATGGCTCGGCGCAAGGACAAGCCGCGCCTTATACCCGAGCAGGACAAGCGCATCTGTCGCGCCATTTGCCTGTGCCAGCTGACCATGGTGATGTCCTGTGTCTCCATTGTCTACCTCAGCGTGGCCATTTACTCGCCCTCGCTTAAGTGAGTAAACCACTCCTCCCTCCTCTTTCTCTATCCCTTTACATTCTTTCCACTTTAGAGCCTTCAAGTCCGGCTTTGAGCTGGACCCGGTCATGTGCCAAACAGTCGATCGTCAAATGCCCAACAATTGTCCCTGGGCTTCGTGTGGCGAGTGGTGCTTAACACGCACCAGCGGCTTTTGTCCCCAAATACACTCGGTGGTGCGACGCAATGGCACAGACATACAGCTCAACAATTGCACCAGGGTGACCAATACTTCATGTGCTGCGGTAAGTGGAGGAGCTTCAACCATGCAAGAGCTGACGAGGGTGTGGTTTCTAGATTTTGGGGAAATGTGCAGTGGAGCCATCAACAGAGAATAATTCCTTAGCAAACCAAAAGGGAATACCCTTTATGAAAATAAGAATAATACGTTTGAATATGAGGAAAAGCTGTATCAAAGTATATTACTTCGTATATGAAGACCTTTTCATTCCCTGAATGATCCTTGAATCCATGGTTTCTAAACGTTTTCCTATCAAAGACTTAATAACTGCAAAGCTTAAACCAGAAAATCGTAATATATATGAGACCACTGTGAAGTGTTAGCCACATAGAGTAGAAATTCTAAGATGTATCCCTTTCGTTTATTTGTAAACATTGAATCACTTTTGAAAATGTATCCAAGTGTGAATCATAGCTAATTCAAAGCATTTAAATCGCTTCTCTAATAGCTCTGTGTCTTCATTAAGTTAGTATAAATCGAACAAAAACGCTAAACCGCTGCGCAGTTTGAACCATCAATAAAGGAAAATGGCAAATAAATGGATGACTCAGAGCCTGCCAATCCAATGTGAAAGCAAATATACGTCAAAAGTATTTGCAGCATTTGCAGCATTTGTCTGGCGCCAAGGCGTCTTTACGATCCATTAACGGAAATGTAAATGCAAACATCTAATCTTTTTTTTTTTACTACATCCTCCTCTATTCCTCTATCGCTCACAGATTGACCTGAATCGCTTGAACAAGTTCAACTGCAACAATGGCACCGTCTGCAACAACATTCGTGGCGTATTCAACTGCTCGAATGGTAAGTACTTAAATAAAACCTAACTTTCGATGAGGGATACTCCATATAAGAGATTATTTATGTATACATTACATATGTGAAAATCTGAATCTGAATTCTTATAAAAAAACTCTTTCAACTTCTATTCAATTCTTTTAATTTCTTTTCCACTTCTGTTCAACTTCTCCGACACTTCTCTTTAACTATGTATATCATTTCATATCATTTTCATCTTCTTCTCTGCTTCTTTCATCAGGTCACTGCAAGAACATGTCAGAGTTCTTTTTGTGCCACCACAAGCCCGATGGCCCAGTCATCAATTCTGCCAAGGACAACACCAAGTTGAATGGCTTCTTCGAGTGCCACGGCGTGCACTGCACGAAGATCAAGCGACCCTTCAGCTGCGATCGCTATTGCTCCCGCATAACCACAGCCAATATCAATACGCTGATCATGCACGTAAGTACCCCTCTCTCTCTCTCTCTCGAAGTGCCTGCGATTATAAATCTCCTCGACTATCCGACCGTACAGGAGGACAATGTGATTGCTGCCGATTGTGAGAACGCGGTGGCCTTCAATGAGGCACGCGGCAAGGAGCATGGCGTACGCATCGAACCCACCGAATTCTGGAAGGAGGATGACGGCAATCTACTGACCAATTGTGCAACAGTCACTCGCGAATCCGACAATCGCATAACGTAATTCAAATCTAGAATCGAATTGCAAGCAACTTCATTGAAATGCATTTCCATTAGCGCCACGGACTGCTTGAATGGCACCTTGCTGGATCATGAGACCCTACCGGCTCCCTATATGAATTTTACCCAGTTCTGGGCCATCTATGACAACAGCACACGCGCCGTTGATCCAGAGCAAAAGTTTCTGCCCAATCAGGCGAACCTAACCATTTACAGCTGGAAGAAACTGTTTATCAATCTGGAGGGCTGCGTCAATACACTCAAAGGGGAGTGCAAGGACTTTGTGGCCCGCTATGGCAACGATGGCGATAATAACACAGCTCAGTCACGCTATCAATGCTACTACAACAAGGTAACCAAGCAGCTGGCCAACCAGCCAAGGCGGGGGATCGGGTTTCAGTTGCTGCGTAGCAGCTGCATAAGAAATGTTTACAGCAGGTGTGGCGAAGGCAACAGCGAATCGGGTCTCAACAAATGGGGTAGTATACGCTTTCTGGGTGTATGGGGCAAATTAGAAGAAAGTAACTCTTCCATAGAGAACGAAAGGACAGGCAGAGCCACAAAAACTGTTGAAAAACTTTAGAGAGTATCGGCTAGTCCATCAGTCTAAAGTGCTTCAACGTTTCCTCTTTCAGGATGCAAATGTTGAATTTGTGGTCGCACGCTACGATCTGGATAAGGTCTATCGTGAGCTGCTCGTCTCGCTGATTGTGCCAATCGTGCTGTTTGTAATCTCATCCATATCGCTGTGCGTGATAACAAAGTCCGTCAAGGTGAGCCACCATTACAGATATTACGATATAGTGGAACGCATTAAATACTCTCCCCTTGCAGGTGGGTGACGATGCAAAGATGCGTTGTGTTTGCGCTGGCGATAACTCGGATGATGATGCCTTTGGCAATGCGGCCGCCAATCAGCCGGAACAGGTTTACGACACAGATG